TATATATATATATATATATATATATATATATATATATATATATATATATATATATATATATAAAGATATTTTATATATATATAAATATATTATATATATATATATATATATATATATATATATATATATATATATATATATATATATATATATATATATATATATATATATATATGTATGGCAATTCCATTTTTAACATACATTACATGCGGAACAACTTTATCAAATATTTTCATATTTAAACTGTAAATTAAACTTTGAGTTATTTTGAATGAAAGCTGTTAATCAAAAGAACAAAAATTAGCTAAAAAGTTTTGTGGTCAAAAAAGGGCGAACTTATTACTGAAAATACCACTTAACTTATGTTACACAGAAAACAAAGTTGCTTCAACTTTTAGGTCAGATTTCTGCGAATCAAGCAAAGCAGTTTGAATTTGAAACTTTTACAAGATGTTGATAATTTTATACCAATTTAAAATTTTAAAAAAATTTATCAGATGTGACTGGCTAAAGAAAATAGACATGTTTTTTTGATACTATATATTTAACTTACTTTATTTATTACTTTATAATTTTTATTCAACACTTTACATCACTTATGTTACTGAACGATTATTATTGTGGATTTTTTCTATTATTAAGAGTTGAAGTTATGTAGCAAAAGAATTGAATTCATTCATTAAAAATAATTAAATTAGGGAAATTTTAAAAAACTGGTTGCACTCTTCCTCAGTGATTTTTCATAACATTTATTTAAGTTATCAAATCGGAAACAGTTTTTCCACAAGACCAAGAGCAACTTTTAAAAATTATTTTAATATTATAACTTTATTGGTATTTATTTGAGTCATTTAAATAAAAAAATCTTTGGTTTGTCCAAGTTTTTACTTATACTTTTTACGTTTATGCGTATTGCCTTATTTTCATTAGGTTGAATTTTTAAAATGCTGCAAAGTATTTACATTTAAATCTTTTAAAATATTTTTGATGTAAAAACTGCTATCACAATTTAGGAGGGAGAGGATTTCAGGTATATGTGATCGTTTGTGACAGGAGGGAAGGGATTAAAAATTGACAAATATAGGGTTACGTTCTTTATGGATGACCCTCCTTGCATTTGTAAATTGCATTTACAAACGATTTGTTTTACTAAAACAAAAATAAAAAAGGTTCATACTGATTTTTTTTTTTTATTAGGAGAAAATATCAAATAAATCTTTTTTTTTGTTAATGTCTAAATAAATATATTTATATAATTCTTATTTCCATTTTTTTATGTATATTTATGTCAACCAAAATAAGAATACATAAAAAAATTTAAAAAAATATATAAATAATTTTAATTAACAATAAAATAAAAGATATTTTTCTAAATTCTCCTAATATAAAAAGTTTCAGTTTAAACATTGTCAAACCAACACACCAAAATAAGTTTGCGTAATGATGTAATTCATTTTGTTAACAAAATCCCAGCAAACATTTAGTCTAAAAAGGACGTCTTTTAGATGTATAAAAAACGTCTAAGGCGTCTTTTTTAGACTAAATGTTTGCTGGGAATAATGCCAGAACTTTAGTAAATGCATGTAGATTTAACTTATGTTACACAAATTTAAAATAAAAATGTGCTTTAACTAAGCATCTTTCTTCAAAACTTTATATGTAAAACTTTATATGTAAAAACTTAATATTCTTTTGCATATATTATTAAAAAACTGTAGTTTTTTAACTAAATTTTAGAAAACAAAACTTTATCATGTTTTTGTTAACTTATGTTACATGAAATTTGCAAAAGTTCTTTCGTTATTTTCTTGAAATAAATATATTTTATAAAGTATAAAATTTGACCAACAGCAATTTGAGTATGTTTGCTCCATTTTCACGCTAAATTAATTCAGATAGACATTTTGACTGGCGGGAATTAAATTCTACAAAATAAATCTTGGACAAAATAAATCTTGGTCAGCAATATTCGATCAAACATCAGTTTGATCGAATGCTATTGCTGACCAAACATCAGTTTGATCGAATGCTATTGCTGACTCAAATTACTTTTTTTGTTTACAACTTGACCATAACTGTTTATATGTTTTGATGATTTAAATGTTTCAGAATGCACTGAAAAAAGAAAAGTTTATCTAAACTTAAACTAGGAAAAAATTTGAAAAAACTAAAAAATAAGCAAAATGAATTCTTACGAAAAAGAAAACAAATTAGCTTTAAAATAAAACTGTGAAAGTTAAAATTACTTTTTGTTATGTTTTTTATTGCATTTGAATTACTTATCTTTAAAAACTTTTAATTAAAGTTATGCAAAACATTTTTACGAGTTACTTCTATCAATTGATAATTATTGATATATAAATGAACAACTTTTATTAAAAAGTGAAATTAAATTATTGAAAAGAAAAAAATATAATATTTTTAAGTTGTATTATATTTTCAAGAAGTTGCAAAAAAAAAAAGCAATTGTTTAAAAAAAGTAGTCTTTTTTAAAATTGTAATTTTTATTAATTTCATGCTTTAATTAGTAAGTCAAGTTAAATTTATTATAAAAAATACATACCTACTAAAAAAAAAATTAGTATAATATTTAATTTACACATAATGTGTTTATTTTTGGCGATCATTATAATTAATTTTTCATTTTATTGAAAGCCTTCGCGTAAAATAAAAACTTAACTAAAAAAAAAAAAAAAGATCAATGGTTCAAAATTATTTTTAGTTTTATTTACTGAGTTGATAAAGTACATCGCAGTAAATTTACCTAAAAATCAAAACAAATAAATTTAGCATGAAATTTTTTTTATTGCATTTCAATTGTTAAAACATCAAAACAGCTATTGTCAAATTGTAAAAGAAAAAAAAAAAAAAAAGCATCGTCAGTTACAGCGTGAAAAAAAAAATCTATCTAAAAAAACATACAATATTAAATTGAAGCTATTTTATTAAAAAACAAAAATCTGAGATAAATTACTTTAAATAATTAGGAAAGAACTTCACTAGACTAATGATAGCAAAAGACAGTTCTGTAAAACGGAAATAGTTATATTTTAAAAATTTGATCAAATCCTGTCCGAACTAAACAAGTTTTGATCGGACATTTTGGGACTTGTTATAAAAAATTAAATTGAGCCCTGTATATATATATATATATATATATATATATATATATATATATATATATATATATATATATATATATATTATTTTTCCTAATTCTGATGGTTGTATGTATATAGGGGCTATTCTAGAAAAATAATTTGGATGATGGTACCCCCATTGCGGCTCCTGCTATAAAGAAATTTGGCAGAAGCATTTATAGAGAAGTCCTATATAGGCATATATTTGCAAAAGAAAACAATATTTGTCTTTTAAAAAAAAAATTGTATTTATATATATATATTATTATTATAAATATACTATTTTAAAGAAAAAAAAAAAAATTAACTAATTTGCTATGTATTTAGAACTATTTTAAAACTTTGTTAATTTTTTTCTTATGTTTATTTTTTTCACGTCTTTTGGTTTTTAAAAATGTTTTTGCTAAATTTGGCATTTTTTCTCAATATTTATATAATAGGAAAATCAGAAAATAAATTTCTATTTATTTGTAAAATATATTATTTGATTAATTAATTTTGTAATGAAGGCAGAAATTAAATAGAAGAATGCAATGGTTTCTTTTTTAAATTTATTTACAATACTTGATGTCTGTCTTGAATTTTTCCATTACATTGCCCAATTTTTAACGTTAAGACAATTTTCTAGCATAACGATTACTCTGATTACTTTTGTTTAAATGTAAGATAAGGCACTTTTTATATTTAAGACGTAAGCCCAGGTTAGAGTCCAAGACGTGATGTGATTTATATCCTTCTGGAGCAAAGCTAGGCTCTCAGATGTCAAGTTGATGGAAATAACTTTTCTGTCGTTGGCATATAACTTCATTGGATTGCTAATAAGGTCTGTAATGTCATTGATGTATGAGATGATTAGAAGAGGTACTAGAACAGATTCTTGTAGGACACCACTGGTGACTGGTAACCAATTTGAAGTAGCGGTATTAGTAGAAGTAGAAGTATTAATGACTTTTTGTTATTTTGCATGAAAAATTTGTTAAAAATATATATATATATATATGTTACAAATAAATAGCAATCAGTTTTCTTGCTTTCCTAGGCACTGATAAAAACAGTAAAGTTGTATCAATTTTGCCAGTGGAAAATAACAAATTTCCAAAAAAAGTTTTGTTTAAAAAAAAAACTTTTTTGACAAAAATTTTTGTCAAAAAAGTTGTCTAAAATTACTTTAAACATGGATGAACAAGGCGTGCGACTGTATGTGCTTCTTAGGAAGGCTTTTATATATGTTTATATCTACTACATTATAAGATTTAAATATATTTATATAATTATAAGATTTAAATATATTTATATAATTATATGCGGTAGTGGTGTAGTGGTAGAGCGCTTGCTTCATAAGTGAGAGGTTCCGAGTTCGATCCCCACCACATCCCTGGTAGTACCGCGCTCAACTTGTTTCTCCGCGCAGAGGCCTTGTTCATCAAGGTTCGTGTTTTGGAGTTTTAGAGTTGAGAGAGGGTTATAACCACAAATAAGTAGCCTCCTTGTCTGTAGTGGCCTTCTCGGCTTTAAGAGTTGAAAAAACAAAGAAGAAGAAAATACTATAACTATTTCTTCTTTAAAGTTTAATATTATACTTAACTATATTTATATTATATTTTTGGGTTGTTATACTTAATGAAAATTTATTATTAAACTTTGTTATAATTGTACTTTATTTTTTGTATTTATTATATTTATTATATATTACGATATTTACTTATTATTATATTTTTGCATTATTGTATTTAAAAAATTTTAGTAAAAATTTAGTTAACAAACAAAAATTAAAAATTTAATCTAATTAATAAATAGTAATCTAATAAATTTATAAAAAATTAGTTGTATGTAAAAGTAATTTGTTGTTTTATATTGCAGAAAGCAATTATTAGATCAAATGAATAGAAACGAATATGTTTATACAAATTGTATAAGTATTAATATAAATGGGGTGTAAAGATGGTTAAAGAAAGTGACCTTATGCTTGCTGTGAAGAACAATGATGGTCAGCGAGTGAGAAAATATTTACACAAGTTTCATAAAAGTGGAAGTAAGTGCATGCAATATATGGTTAGTTACCTTATTTCAAATTTCAAAAGTTTAAAAGTTAACAAATATTTTTTTTATTTCACAAATATTTATTTCACAAGTATTATCGAAATTTATTTTTTAAAGAAATTTTGTAACTAACAATAAATAGCTAAAATATAAATTAATTTGTCCAAAATCTTTTAATTTCTTTATGTTTTTAATTTTTCATTTGGTTTACTTCTGTTTTGAACTTTTGTTTGGTTTGTTTCAGTTTAAACCTTTTTTGTTTATTTTATTTTATTTAGGATTTGTTATTTAATAAATATTTAGTTTTTTTCTGAAATTATAATTTAGTTTTTTTCTGAAATTATAATTTGTTATTTATTGTTATATTTGTATTTATTGTTTTTTTAAGAAAAGTCATTGGAAAAGAAGCTTGGTATAAACAGTACAGATTCAGATGGGTAATATATTTTGAATATATATATATATACAGGGCCGGCGCGAGTAGGTGTCACGTGGGGGGGTGCCATTATCACTTTTGGCGACTTTAAAAAAAAAAAAAAGGTCCTCGTTTTCGAAAATTTGCAGACTGCCATGACGACATTTGCCGACTAAATGTTTAATCTACCGACTACCCTATATCGAAAGGGTCGACATTTGCAGACTAACTAGTCGAAAAGGGTCAAATTTGCCGGCTAAAAATTGTTGATGGGGGGGGTCACACACCCCTCCCCCCCTTTCTTTGCGCCGGCCTTGTGTATATATATATATACTCTTGCATGGTCGTCTTTAAGTTTTTACCATAAAATGTCAGTTTTAGGTTTTTTTTTAATTTTAAAGGCCGGTTAAACTTTTTTTTTTTTTCAATTATTTAATAGAATGCCTGCCCAGTCTATCAAATAATTATATATATATATATATATATATATATATATATATATATATATATATATATATATATATATATATATATATATATCAGGCTTTCCCAGGAAAGGCCTGCGGTCGCACGCCTTGTTTGTCCACACATAGAATAAATTTTTCTGACTAACTGACCACGTTTTATTATTATGCGTTTCAAGAATTCGCGCAAAACAAAGCTAAACGAAAATACCGCAAAAATGCAAGCAACCTTAAAGTAAATAACAGAAATCTGTTTGTGCTTTAAAATTAAAAAATTAATGTATATCATTAAAAAAAAAATTTACCTATATTTTATTAATTTATTTTTTTAGGGTGGTAGTTATTTTAGCTATGAAAAATCAAATCAATAAGAAAAATCAAATAAAAAAGAAAAAGAATAATGTTTAAAGAAAATAAAAAAACCTTTTAATGTAAAATTTGTTTATCAATGACTTTTATCAGTCAGTAATACTTTAAAATTCACGATAGAACTATAAACAATTTTTAAATGTTTTGTAAATACATTTAAATGTTTAAATGTATTGATTTAAATGTTTGAATGTATTGATACGCAAGAAAACACGAAAACGATTGCTATTTATTAGTAAAATATATTTGTTTGTTTTTTAAAGTGAAAGAAAATTTTATTGTCAAACAATTGAGTTGCTTATTTTGCAATCATTAATTGACATTGTGAACGAGTGTTAATATATAATAATGTCCCGAAGGAACTGTTTTCGTAACAATGACAACAGAAGCAATGCAATTATTTTTTTAACTTCTTTTGTAATTACAAAATTATGCAATTGAATAATTTCAATGTAATAAAAGGCGAGCATCGACTCAGTATAATCAGTTTAGAATAAGTCGAGAAAGAACTTTTTTCACATTAAAATTTTGTTATGTTTAAAATCTCAAATAATATATTTAATAATTAAAACAGCAATTTATTTTCTTGTCTAAGTATTGGGGAATAAAGTCATCGCCTTTGCATAAACCTTCGTAAAAACCAAATTAAATGAAAAAGGTTAACCAAATTTGTCTAGCGTAAATAATGAATCAGTTTTTTAATACATTGTTTGATAAAGTTTGTGAATAAATTACGTATCAAGTCTTTTTATTTTCGTGAAAACTTTATGACTTATTGTCATCTTTTCCTTGACTTGTATTAAATTTCGTAGCTGAAAATAGCAACCCTAAAAAAAAAAAAACAGTATAAAAATTTTGAAAAAAATGTTCAAGACTTTTTTTTTTTTTTTGTTACAAGAATTTTTTTTTCTTTAGTTTTTTTTTTTTATTATCAAAATATTTTTCTTACATCCAATTTCAATTTTATACTTTGTTTAGACTTTGTTTCCTTTTTTTTAAATTATTTTTTATTCTCTGTGGATAATTTCCTCTTTCCCACGAAATATTGCCGCGGTCACGTTTTCTGAAAAATTTATTATATGCGTGGACAAACAAGGCGTGCAACTGTACGCCTTTCCTAGGAAAGCCTGATATATATATATATATATATATATATATATATATTATATATATATATATATATATATATATATATATATATATATATATTTATATATATATATATATAGTATTGCAAAATAAAATAAAAATTTAAAAAATTTAAATTCATAAATCAGGAAAACATAAGGAAATAAAAAAACTCTAAAGCAAAGATGTTGAGGATAAAAATAGATAAATGTTTTTGAGCATGAAGGAGTAGTTCCAGTAAAAAGTTTTACTGAATGACAAGACACCAATGGTTGGGTTTTGGTTGGTTGGAAAAAAAAGATACTTTGCAATGAGCATTGACCATGTAGTATTTGTAGAAAAGAGAAAGAGATGTAAATGGTAAAACAAAGGCTTGAGCTTGGCATTTTAAACAGATTCAACTAGGTTTACAAGACCTTTCGAACCTTGTCTATAAGACAAAAGGGCATCATTTTAAGAAGCAGCCAACCATTTAAATCTGACCCTATATCCCGTATAAGGTCAGATATAAAGAAGTAGAGAGTGTAGTTTGGGACTAAGAAAATAGTAAGCACATTAAGGTAAGCAAGTAAAGGAATAGTTCAAGATGAAGATAAATAAGAATAAAAAGGTTTAAAGTTTAAAAAAGATTAGATTTGTTTAAATTAACACAGAATGAATCAAAAACTTTTAAGATAATATTATATAAGATTTCTAAAATTAATAGGCTTTAGGTTTAATACTTTTTTTGTTTCTGATAACAATATTATTGTTATATAAAAAATATTTAATAAGATTTGAAATAATAGAAACAATAAAAAAAAACTTAGGAGTCTTAAACAAAACTTATAAAAAAAAAAAAAAAATTTACTTGCCTTGCTAAAATAGCAGAAGTTTTGGACCAGTCTATTGATGACTACCAGTACTAAGTTGACTAGAAATGCTATTAAAAACTTGAACTGATAGTTTGGAAATTTAAAACTGGTTTTCCAATTTTTTTACTGAAGCAATATTTTATACAGTAATCATGCTGAAATACAAATTTATTAGTTAAATTTTTTGTTTTGCATTTTTTTAGGTTTACACCTCTTCATCATGCAGCGTTACAAGGAAATGTTGATATACTTATGGCCATCATTGAAATGGGGGGAGACCCTAATGGGAAAGATAATAAAGGTATTTACTTAATTTTATTTAAATTATTCGTAGAATAACTATAAAAACTGATAGCATATCATTAGACTTTGATTTTTTTGTTTTTAAGAGCAATCACAAATAATACTTACTAAATTTCTAATAAATTATTAATCAACCTGTTAATTTGTTATCTGTGTAAACTGTATCTGTAATAATTGTATTTTTTTAAAGGAATTAATCTTTGGGTAAAAATATATGAAATCATCCAGACCATGACACCCTTACGTCTCAGAATTTGTTTATTTTTACACCACTTGCAGTCCATATCAAAAAAATAATAATTGTGAAAATTTTAGTTAAAAATACCAATGGGTTCCATAGATATTGTCACTTGAAATAATGCTGACTCAGCATTTTAGTGATTTTCTGAAGCGACTAAAAAGCAACTTTGACATATAGTATCTTCATAATGGCTTGGGGAAATTTCCTAAAATTTGGTACTCTAATAGATTTTAACTTGAGGAATCCAAAAATAGCACTCTTAAGACTCGATTATCTCAAGAAATGCCTCATTTATCCAATTTTGTTCAAAATTATTGACTTGTAAATTAGTGATTTTTGAAGGTAAAATAAAGACTGTGGCCCAAAATCCCGAGTAAAAATTTTAATTGTATATCATTATTTCATCTTAGGTCTACTGAAAAAAATTAGATTCATCAATTGTCTTTCTAATACATGATCAAAATTTGCATTTAAAAATGGTGTCTTTTTAGAAAAATTTAAATTTTGTAACAAAAGCAATTAAAATATTTTTTAAAACATTTATTTGAATAAAACATCAAATAGTGTCATTTATTGAATAGTTTAGGACATTTATAGTCATGGGCCAAGGGAGATACCTTCCACTCCCACGGGAGGCCCCTACGCCCCCTCCCCCAATCTCCCTAAATTTTTTTTTTTTTTTTTTTTTTTTTTTTTTAAAAAAAATCTAGGGAGATTGGGGAAGGGGGCGTTTTTTGCATTTTTCCAGTTGCCAGTTTTTTGCATTATTTATTCATTTGCATAAAATGAATAAATAATGCAAAAACATACAATTTAATTTTAATTTTGAAAAAAAAAATTTCATTATTTCAATTTGGTGACTTAAAACCTCCTTTTATATAAAAAACAAACATAAGTTTTGTTTTGTTCTTTTTAAAGGTATTTACTTGTTTGTGTTTTCTTAAAGAATTACTTTAAATTTTATAGTTTTTTATATTATTTTGTTAGGTAATAAATAATAAAAATAAATAATATAGAGAAATGTGACATTGGAAAAAGTCTTAACATTCATTGCCACAAAACTGGATTTTCAAGAAAACAAGGTTTTGTTCAATTTAAAGATCTTCCTTGTGAAAAACAAGAAGAAATAATATGGCGAGCAAATTTAAAGGAAAAATATAGTTCAATAAGAATTATATGTTGTTATTCTGAGCAATTCTATGGAAAATATTTTGAGAGAAAAATTACAAAGTGTTGCAATCCTTTTGGAACACACAAGGAAAGTAAAAAAATTGCTATAAAAGGTAATCTTACCTTATTTACAACAGAATTGATATGGAAATTAAATAAAAACAATTTATTATTTATAAAAAGTTTTATAATTTCAGTTATTTTAACAACGTAAAACTAAATTTGTTTTTTAGGTAATATAAAGATTTCCATAGACATGGCAAACTATTTGCAAAAAAATAATGTTTATGTAACCCCAGGTTGGAAATTCTGCAGTAAATGTTACAAAAAAGCAATAGAAACTGATGAAGATTTAAATTTACAGGAGGAATGGGAATCCAAATGTGAGAAAAAAATTAAGTTAGATACCACTATAGAATTGCTTGGAATCTCACCGGTCAAACTGAAAAGTCTTTCAAAACACAGCAAATTGCCTGTAGCAAAACAAAAGTTTGAGAACACTATTGACAGAGTTGCAAAAATGGTCTCATTAGCATATAATATTAAAGAAACTTTTTTAACAACAGAAATAAAAAGCCCCATTTTAAACAACAACATTAACAATGACCATGATCTAGACATTTTAATGTATGAAATAAAAAATAAAATTTCAGAGACTGACTCTTATCGCCATAAGGTGCAAATGTTAACACTCGCACCAAAATCATGGACAGGTAAAAAGATATCATGCTACTTTGAAGTGTCTGAGTATCTTGTTCGAACAGCAAAAAAAGTTAAAAATGAGAATGGAACTCTATCACTACCCGGGAAAAAAACTGGAAACCCACTTTCACCAGAAACAGTTAATTTAGTGATTAACTTTTATCAAAGTAATGAATTTTCAAGAATGATGCCAGGAAAAAAAGATTATGTAAGTATTAAGAAAAACCAACATGTTCAAAAAAGATTATTGCTACTCAATCTTAATGAATTACATGTTGCATTTAAAAAAGACTACCCTAACTCAAAGTCAGTTTGTCAAAGTTTTGTACTCTTAAACCTAAATGGTGTATTACAACTAATGCGTCAGGTACCCACAATGTATGTGTTTGCATACATCACCAAAATACAAAATTTCTCATTGATGCCATTAGGTGGAATAAAAGTTATAAAGATTTCATGGCATTGATTGTTTGCTCTCTTGAAAATGCAGAATGTATGTTGCATCGATGTAACCAATGTCCTGGTATTGAAGCGTTAAAAAATTTTTTAGTGCAGGAGTTTATGGACCATGAGCATGAAGAAGGTGTAGTATTTAAGCAATGGCAGAGTATAGATCGTACAACACTACTTTCACAGTCATTGCCACTAGATGAATTTATTGATTTATTATGTGACAGTATTGACAACCTTACCACTCATTCATATATTGCAAAAACACAAAGATACTTAGATACTTAAAAAACTGTAAAGAAAATCTTAACCAAAACGAATGCTTAATTTTAGGAGATTTTGCTGAAAACTATCAATATGTTGTTCAGGATGAGGTTCAAAGTTATCACTGGAGCAAAAGTCAATGCTCACTTTATACAGTTGTACTTTATTTTATAGAGAACAAACTTCTCAAACATAAATCTTTTTGTTACCTTTCAGAAGATGTTGATCATGACACAGGATTTATTACAAGACTCAGGAAGATATAACTAGATATATCAAAGAAAATCTACCTGATGTATCAAGTGTGAAATACTTTTCTGATGGTTGTGCAGCACAATTTAAAAATTTTAAAAATTTTATCAATCTTTGTCATCACAGTAAAGACTTTGATTTAAATGCTGAATGGGTATTTTTTGCTACCAGTCATGGTAAATCCCCCTGTGATGGTATTGGTGGGACTGTTAAAAGAGTAGTATGTCAAGAAAGTCTAAAACAAATAACTACTGGGCAGATTTTAGATGTTAATTTAATGTACTCCTTTTGTAAAGCCAAGATAAATGGAATTTATTTTAAGTTATTTTCAAAAGAAGAAATTGATCAAACACGAGCACAATTAGAAAAAAGATATTTAGGTGGAAGAACAGTTCCTGGCACAAGGATGTATCATCATTTTATTCCAATTGCTCCAAACACTATAAGTTATAAAAAAATAAGTATTGATGCATGCACTGAAATTTTTGATATCATTCCAAAAAGCAAACATTATGTAGATATTTCATTAAATATTAAAAAAATGGATTATATTGCATGTTTTTATGATGGATTTTGGTGGTTAGGGATTGCTGAAGATGTAAGTGAGCTTGATAAAAGTCAGATTCATGCATCCACATGGACCAGGTAAAAACTTATTTTGGCCAATAAGAACTGATGAGTGTTGGGTGCTCAATTCTGAAGTTATATGCCTAATTTCTACACCCACAACAATATCAGGTCGTACATACAACATAACTGATTTAGATTTGGAGAATATAAACTGTTGGTTACAAAAAAAAATTAATTATGCTTAAAATAATTTTGTTTTTATTTTATTTACCTAATTTGCATTTTAAATGTCTTTTATTTTTTTCAAATCCTTGGATTGTAGGCTGAGGGGTGGGGGTTTAAATAAATCACAAATCACTCCCATCTTATTATGTCAATGACTATATTAGTCTAAAACTACATAAAGATATTTATTGTCAATATGTTTTAAAAACATTTTAAAACATTTGTTTTTAAAATTTATGACTTAAAATTGTAAAAAGATCTTTGAAATAAGAGGTAAGTATTTATCGATTTGAACGCAAATAAATCGTTTCTCAAACTTAAACTGAAAAAATATGTTTTTAAAATGTATTTTAACAATCAACTATTTTTTATTCATTTTATGTAAAAAAAAAAAAAAATCTAGGGAGATTTGGGGAGGGGTGGAGGGGCCTCCCGTGGGTAGCGAGGGCATCTCCCTTGGCCCATGACTTTAAATGTTTATTTAAATTTAAACTAGTCAATAAATAACACTATTTGGTGTTTTATTCAAATAAATGTTTAAAAAAATATTTCAATTGCTTTTGTTACAAAATTTAAATTTTTCTAAAAAGACACCATTTTTAAATGCAAATTTTGATCATGTATTAGAAAGACAATTGATGAATCTAATTTTTTTCAGTAGACCTAAGATGAAATAATGATATACAATTAAAATTTTTACTCGGGATTTTGGGCCACAGTCTTTATTTTACCTCCAAAAATCACTAACTTACAAGTCAATAATTTTGAACAAAATTGGATAAATGAGGCATTTCTTGAGATAATCGAGTCTTAAGAGTGCTATTTTTGGATTCCTCAAGTTAAAATCTATTAGAGTACCAAATTTTAGGAAATTTCCCCAAGCCATTATGAAGATACTGTATGTCAAAGTTGCTTTGTAGTCGCTTCAGAAAATCACTAAAATGCTGAGTCAGCATTATTTCAACTGACGATATCTCTGGAACCCATTGGTATTTTCAACTAAAATTTTTGCAGTTATTATTTTTTTGATATGGACTGCTAGTGGTGTAAAAATAAACAAATTCTGAGGCGTAAGGGTGTCGAAAATTTTTTTTGTGGATGATTTCATATATTTTCACCCCTTTCTAAAATTAATATAATTTCTTAAAATTGGAAAATATACAGCTTGCTGTTATTACAATTTATTACTTTACTTTAACAATTTATTTTCTAAGTTTATTTTCCTCTTTGTTTTTAACAATTTTTTTGTTTTTAGGTATGACACCACTCCATATGGCTTCATGGGCAGGTAAAGATGAAGCTGTAAAATGCCTGCTAGAAAACAAAGCATTACCAAATCTTGCTTCCTTTAGTGGAGACACAGCTTTGCATCTTGCTGCTCAGCATGGATACTCAGGATGTGTGAGATTTTTTAAATATTTTTCAATGATGATGATTTATATATATATATATATATATATATATATATATATATATATATATATATATATATATATATATATATATATATATATATATATATATATATAATATTTTATTACATATATATATATATATATATATATATATATATATATAATATAATATTTTATTACATATATATATATATATATATATATATATATATATATATATATATATATATATATATATATATAATATTTTATTACATATATATATATATATATATATATATATATATATATATATATATATATATATATATATATATAGTCAAAATTAATCAGATTGGTTAGACTCATTTCTCCTTATTTACTCTATATTACATTTCTATTTTTATATTATATAATTGTAGTGTCATAGCTATGAAGTTTATGGTTTTAAGGTGATTTTACATAAGGATATATTTGATTTGTTTTCTATTAGTGATACACAAATTATTAGTTTATGGCCGATGGACAGAAAAAGATGACAGCCAATTGATTAAAAAATTATTAAAATAATATGCAACAACAATAACAAAAAAAAGTAATTTAGCAATAATTTTTTCTTTTAAGTTTTAATCCTTCTCCATCTTTCAAAATTATTTAGTCAAAATATATTAGTCAACAAAATCAACGATTAACTTGCATAATGGTGTAATACCATTAGTAATGCATATCTTTCGATTGATTGAATAAGTATTAAATTTGATATATAGCTAATTAATATATTTCTTTAATTTAATTTCTACATTATTATTTTAATGACATCTCTTGATAAATTTGATTTTTAAACAAGGTATAAAAACATAAAACACACCTAACTGTGTTAAGCTAGCTAACTAGATTTTTGTACACAAATACAAAAATATTTAGTATTGTGTTTTATATTTTTTTACCTGAATTTTATATATACTATTTAATTTACTATTTACTTTGATTAGTATTTATATTAATATTTATTTATATTAGTATTTATATTAATATTTATTTATATTAGTATTTATATTAATATTTACTACTTTTTCAATGTGTTAAATAAATTTTATAGCTATTTTAATTTTTTTTAATTGGAAAAATAATTTGGCGCTATGGTTTTAGCTAAAAAAAAAAAAAAGTTTTTTTTTAAGAAAATTTAAGAAAAAAGGTCCTCTGCAATTAGGCAAACCCCTCATTACACTGTTGGTAATGGTTTGGTAAATGGACTGTGTAAAGGCTAGTTAAAAATGTTTATATTTCATTCTTTTTTACTTACATTTATATTTATTTTTATACATTTCATATTCATTTCTATCATTTAGGCCAAGCTTCTTCTTGCCTCAAATGCAGATGGCACTTTTCGAAATAGGCTTCTAGAAACTCCACTTGATCTGGCTTGTCAATATGGTCATACTCAGGTGATCCTTCCACAAAGTTTTTTTATTGCATAATTTAATTTTATGCTAAAACATTACAATTCCGCGAAATAAAAGTATTTGTTTCCAAAATAGAATCTATAATAACCACCTAAAAAAGCAATTATAAAATTAATTTAATAACAACAAAATAATTTAAATTTTAGTTTAGATTTGTATTTAATTGGTATTTTTTAAATTTATTTTGAATGTTACTTTTGGTATTTTAATTGTTTCGAATTTTTATTTTGGTTTTACTTTAATATTTTAATGCTTACTTCTAATTTTTAGTTTTTTTTTATTTGTATAAATTTTTAAAATTATTTTTATTGTTTTATTTTTTTATCCTTTATTTTGTTTTGTTTTTTTAATTATTCGTCATATTTATCATAGTGACTATTTTAGTTTTAATTCTTGTTATTGGAATTATTTTAGATTCACTTTAATCTTTTACTTGTTGTATTTTTATATTTTTTTGTTTATTTTTTTATTCTTTTTTCTTTCTCTTTTGTATGATCTCAATGTCCTATTATCTTAAAAACAACATGGACTATTATTACAATTTAATGTTATCATAATTTTTTCTTATTTGTTATTTTCTTATTTGTTATTTTCTTATTTTTCTTATTATATATCAATATTAACTAACGCGCATATTTAAACATACTATAAATTATGTTGACTATTTCACATAAAAATCTAGTGTAGTTTAATATAATTTTTGATGAAGTTTTAAACCCTCTATTTAAATAAATATTAAAATATTTCCCAATCCTCCTCAGTTGATGTATGAACACTTCACTTTACTTAACCCTATTAAGTCAGTTAATGCATGCACACTCCATTGTTCCTCTCTATCAACTATGACTATATCAGTGAACTTATATACAGATTGATGCACTTATTCTATGAAACTAAAAATAAATAACAAACATAACTATAAATAAACAATAATAATAGTTAAAAAACATAAAACTATTTTGAAATAAAACTTTAAAATTAAAAAAAATTTCCATGAGGAGGGTTTGAACTCGCAGCCCTGTTAGTCGCGCCTCAAAATAAAATGAATATTACATCCGCAGCATTACACTAATATAAAAATGATGTAAAAAAGTTAAACTATTTAAAAATTTTTTGCATACAAATAAGACTTCTATTATGTGTATGCATGTACAAATAATGACTTCTTATTTTTATTGTCTTTATTATTATATAAACATATATGTGTATACATGTATAAAAGTTATATATACACACACACTCAGATGCACATAAATATGTGATTCACATATTTAGTTTAAATAACATATTTAGTTTGGCCAGTTTAGCTAAACTAATAGAATTTAGAAGTAAAGTATAATTTAATAAAGTTGGAGCATCATATAATATAATTCTCTTCAATAAAATAAGGCAACTTACCTAATTTATGAAATATCTTTTTTTTGTATTTAAGATTTTTACTTTTTTTTTCTAATATTTATTTGAAATCTTCATGTTTATGGTTTAAATGTTAATTCTGTTTGATATTAGGTTGTGAAACAGTTGTTGACAAATGAAATGGTTACTTCAGTTTTACTTTCTCCAACAAACTCTTCTAAATCTCCTCTCCATCTTTCCGCGAAATCTGGGCATGATGATATTGTTTCTCTATTATTGCAGCACGGAGTTCATGTAGACGATTGCAGTGTTGAGGGAACAGCATTGCATATGGCTGCATTATATGGGAAAACAGAAGTGGCTCGTTTACTTTTAAAAGTGAGTATAAGCTTCAAGTATTTAAAAGCATTTGAAATATCATTTTGTTGCTGTTTATAAGGGGCTATAAATTTAGGGGCTAGGAAAATAATTTTAAAATTAAAAAAGTAAGTGGCGGTACCCCTCTGTAACCTTTCTTAAAAAATAAGCAGAGAAAAGTTTGGGTAGGAGTTTTGTGTATGCAAAAATTAAAAAAATTTAGTCAATACAACCCTCATTTATTAGATTTAGGGAAATTTCCCACTTACCTATTTATTAGGATCCCCTGTCCCCCATTTATTAAATCTGGACCAAAAATTTCAACCCATTCTTTTATTTCCACTCCACATTGTATTAAGCACCTGAAAGTATAGATAGCTAAGTGCTTAAATTGGTGAAGTGCTAAAAAAGGTGAAGAGCTAAAAGTGGTGAATTGCTGATATTGGTGACAAACCCTCTCATTTTTTCCCCACCCTAACTTAGATTAAACACCTCAAAGTATAAACAGTTAAAAGTGGTGAAGTGATGTATAATGCTATAGATGTATGCAGCATGCATAATTAACCACGGCACTAAGCATTTGCCAAGGCTTTTGCTGAGGGCTTGGTAGTATTTTGATATATTGCCTTGGCAAAATGCAGAGGCAATTTGTTAAAATAAGCTCATCTGCAAAAAGCAACTTATTATGCTTTACAGATGGCCACCTCATTTTTCTTTTTAATTTTTATAGCCATTAACTAATATAAAGTTGGTAAAAACAAGTTATTGAATAACTTTTTATAGTTGTTGAATAGCTATTGAATAACTAATAGATGAGAGAGCGATATTCTAATATAAAAAAGCTCTAAAATAATATTGTGTAGTAAAAGCCATTTTTCATTTAATTTCTTTGATAAAATTGTTTAAAAAAAATTTGTTCAAAATGCAAAACCTTAATTCGATTTTAAAAATGTTGCCATGGTAATGCCAACTTTTGGAGTCAAGTCTTTGGCATTTGTTTTCCGAGGCCATAAAAGCTGAATTTTGCAATTTGTATCTATATAGTAATTTGCATAATATTGCTGCATAAAAAATATATTAGTACATCATATATAACTAATGAGAGAAAAGTCAAAAAAATAAAACATTTCAATGTATTATGTTTGTTCAATTTGTTATCAATGCTTTTAATTTGTTTGTCTTTTTATTTGTTATTTTTTATTTGTTATCAATATTATGTTGTTCAATTTATGAACAATCTTATATGTATGTTCAATATGTTAACAAAGTTATATGTATGTTCAATTTGTTATTATTTTTCATATACTTTTACGGATCTGATTAACATTGTTATTAAACCTGATTCTTGAAAATTTCCCATTTAAATCTTGTAATACAGTATACTATTTATATAATTATTATTATTATTATTAATTTTCTTTATATTAATATTAACTGTTTTATTTAATATTAAGTTTATTAAGTTTTTTTTGTATTTTTTAATTTTTTTGATATATTTTTATTTAATTGAGAAGTTCAATTTATAGGCAGGTGCAAGTGTTTTTAAAACTAATGATAAAGGATTGATGCCACTTGATTTAGTAAATAAGTTTACAACATCCAGAGCAGCTCTAGAAATAAAACAGATGCTAAGAGGTATTTATAGAAATTCTTTTAACAAAAAGAAAATTTTTTGCTAAATGAAAATTAAACAATATCTTTTTATAGTTTAATTTTTTAATTTTTAAACTTAATTTTTTTTTTAACTTCTTTTTTCAAAGTTTATAAAAGCTAAGTAGTATCTTAAAAAAGCAAAGTTGTAAAATGTAAAAAAAATATTTGTAGAGGCTGCTGGTGAACATATTGTATATGCAAAAGCTGTTTCAGATTACAGTAATCAATATGATGAAACAAGTATTTCTTTTAAATGTGGTGAAACTATTGCAGTAGGTTTTTTTCTTTAAATTTCTATTTATTAATAATATTGCAGGTAACAATATGTTACTTAATCATCTTTCTTTAAATAATATTAAAAAAGTGAAAAATTAAATAGACGATTTTTAGTAAGAAGTTTAAAAGTTTAGTTTAAAAGTAAACTTATAAGTAAAATTGAACAGATGATTAGTTTTAGGTAAAACTGAACAGGGAAAACTGAACAGTTTTAGCTAGTTTTAAGTAAAACTGAACAGGGAAAACAGAACAGTTTTAGCTAGTTTTAGGTAAAATCATTAGTTTTTTTTGTCTGTAAACCTAACTGGTTAACAACAACAACAACAACAAAATTTATTTACTTCATATAGATAATTATGTGTTTACATAATTCTTTTTGTTTAATATTATGTAATCTATTAGGTTCTCCAACGAAATCATGATGGCCGGTGGAAAGGTTTTGTTGTTGGGTCCAAGGTTTTTTCATTTACTTTTTTTAATAGTTATAATTTCATTTAAATTTATTAATATATATAGTTATATTATATATTAATATAATGAAAAAATTATAGTTTTACAATATAATTGCAGTTATACAATAGTTAAACAATATACAATTAAAAATTATATTTAGGAGGAGGAGATAGGTTTTTTTCCTGCAATGGCAGTTCATGTGATCTCTGAAAGAGCTATTTCTGGATGTTCATTATCTCCATCTACTCCAAGTAATTTTATGAATTTGTTCATTATCAACATCTACTCCAAGTAATTTTATGAATTTGTTCATTATCTCCATCCACTCCAAGTAATTTTATAAATTTGTTCATTATCTCCATCTACTCCAAGTAATTTTATGAATTTGTTCATTATCAACATCTACTCCAAGTAATTTTATGGATTTGTTCATTATCTCCATCTACTCCAAGTAATTTTATGAATTTGTTTATTATCTCCATCTACTCCAAGTAATTTTATGAATTTGTTTACAGGCATAATTAATAATAAAAAAAAATCAAACAAATAATTTAATTTAAAAAAAAGAAGTAAAAAACTAAAGCTTTAATAGTTTATTATTATATATTTATATTAAATATATTTATTTATAAAATTTATCTTAAATTAAGTATGAGAATTTTTTCATTCTGTATAGCTAAAGTTTTTTTAGCTTAAAACTTGTTTTTGATTGGACAGGTAAAATTAATATAATGTTAAAATAAGGACTTAAATCCTATTAAGAGATCAATGGCAAACACAGCATGCTCCTAATTCTATTAAATCAATCACTAAAGACTTTATAGCATTCCATATTAGTTAATTGCTTCATAACTAACTTAGTTTATTTGTAATTAATTTGATTAAACAATAGGATTCAGTAAATTGTTTAAAAAGTGTTTTTAAATTTATTTTTATAATAAATATGTGGTTAAAGTTATTTAGAGGTATAAATAAAATTTAACAAGATTAATTTTTTTTTTTTTAATTTCAAATGTTACTTTATAACAACTAAATAATTTCTTCAAGGTAAAAGCTCAAGAAATTCTAAAACAGCCCCAAGTAACTTTTTTTATTTTAATTTTAAAAGTTCTTTTGGTTATTTTTTTTAATTTTTGACTTTTTAATAATACTATAAATTTCAAGGCTCCCCAGTTACACCTACAAAAAAACATGTAGGAGTTGTAAATATTGGAAACTTTGATGTACTCACTTTGGCTAAAGGTAAATTGACCTTTTTTAAAAGCAGTTTTTTTTTAATAATCAAGTAAAATTGTAAAAAAAAAATTCTAATTAAATAAAGTAGACTTTCATAAAGTTTTTAATTTGCAAATTTATTTAATGTTTTTAGCAAATACAGAATGCAGTACTCCTGTAATTAAGCAAACAGCTGGTGGTAATGTACTCACTCATTTAAATAGTTTTAAAAGCAACAGGTCGATTGAGAAGCAAACATCAAGTGATGAAACAAATCAGCCTCCATTATCACCAAAGTTATATAAAGCAAATCTATCACCTGAAAAACCCTTATCACCTTCACTTAGACAAAGTAAATCAATGAATGGTCACACTTCACGTATGAACTCAGATGAAATCAAAAGATTCAGAGCAAGAGTGTATAGCAGTGGATCACCTCGACCAGATAATTTAAAGAGGCTAAATGTAATTTATTTATTAAAAATTTTATTATTTATTAAAACAGAAGGATCTGTTTGCTGGAGCAGGGAGAACTAAATCTTATTTGTCAAAAAATTAAAATTAATTATTTTAGGAAAAATTTAATTATAAAGTTATTTTAAGGGATTACAATTTTCATAATTTAAAATTTTTTAAATTATAAATATGTTAGAAAAAATTTGTTTTTTGTTCTAATTAAAAGTTAGTATAAAATATTTTTTCGGTTGATATTATTGTTTATATAACTGACTAATAAGTGAATATGTAAGTTATATCAACAACTATATCAACCTGTATCTTTAACTGTTTTTTAAATTTTAAACCTGTATTTTATATAAATGTTTATTATATTTTTTAAAAATTATAAATCTTTTCAGCATGTTTCCAATCCAAAAAGTCTCTATTCGTCTATTGAGATCCCACCTGGGACATCTCCATTAGTACATATTCCTGCATCAGATACAGTATACACAGATGTTTGCCATATTGTTTGTAATGATAGTCCTAAAGAAGTTACTAAAAATAACATGTCTCCTTCATTGAACAATATCAGCAAGGAAAATAATTCAGAATCCCCTGTGATCAAATCAAACCAAATAAAGTATTTTAAAAGCAAAGATCACAATCTTGTATGTAATTATGAAGATATGTCTGGTTGCTTTTCACCACCAGCACAAGATTTTCACCTAAGACCATCACAGATAGTGCCAACAAGCGATTATGGCTCCATGTGTACTACTTCGTCAAGCTCTTTAGAAATAAATGACCACCAAGCAAACCATGATGAACTGACAGACAGAATTCAATATCCTTCAAATAAGTTTTATGAAAAAATTCATAGCTTTGCAAATGGTCATGAAAAGTCATACAATGATTGTTATGATGGTGGTAGAACTTCAACTACTAATAGTTCCTTTTCGCCATCTCCTCCACTAAACTATCGAGTCAATTCAAATTATGAAAACCAGGATGATACATACTACTCAAACCAAAATAATGATAAAGGTAGCAACAAATTTACTTATATTTTATTTGTATTAGTTTGTTATTTTTGTTTGTATTAGTTTGTTATTTTTATTTGTGTTAGTTTGCTATTTTTTTATTTTTTTTTTATTAGTTTGTAATAATAAAAAAAACATTTCTCAATGTTTGTTTAGAACCTGAACCATCTAATAATGTAAGTCATTTGATTGAAAATAGTTTATACTAAAACCTTTTTTCTATTTTTCATATAAGGTAAGAAAATTCTAACTCACATTTAAGAAAATTCTTAAAAGGTTATTGATTTTATAAATTTTCAGATATTGAACATAATGCATTATGTAGTTTAACATATAAAAAATTAGTTCAGTTATTAAATTGCTGTGAATACTCTTATTAGGCAGAAAAACAAGTACTGGATTGGTTAAATGAGCTTAAACTCACTTATTACTATGATCATTTTATAACAAATGGTTTTGACATGACCAGCATACACGCCATTACACCTGAGGTTGGTCTTATTTTTAATTTCAAGTTTTAATTCATATCATTGATTGAACTCATAAATGCATTTGTTTGAGGAATTTTTTTGTTGAAATGTCATGTATGAAAAATTTATGAAATTTTAATTATGGTATTTATTAAAGAAGTTAATTTTACAAACCTTTTTAATCTTAAAAAAGTAGTTAATTTTTTTTATTTACATAAATATAATAATATTTTGTATATTTATAATACATTATATTACATAATTATTTATTTTTTAATATGTTTTATTATTAAACATAATATTTCATTTTGTGGCTTTTTTACAAAGCTTTTTTAAGATTTTATAGTTTTCTTAAATGTTTACTGTTAAAAAATATTTAACGGTCATCTACTTAATATAAATGTAACAGTGTTGCATTCAGGGCCGGATTTAGCCTTTTGGGGACCCTAGGCCAAAGCATTTTTGAGGCCCCTAAAAGAATTTAATTTTGGCAAGAAAAAAAATTTCATTTTTTAATTTAAAGTTTTATTATTTAAACAAAACAGTGTGAATATTGAGAATTTAATGAAAAATAAATTTTACAGCATTTTTGATTTTTCTACACATTATTTTTAGTTTTCAACTTTTTATGTTTATTAAATTTTGGGGCCCCCAAATGTTGGGGGCCCTAGGCTGTGGCCTAGTTGGCTTATAGGTAAATCCGGCCCTGGTTGCATTCAATGTAGCATCTGCCCTGATCAGACATGTTTGCTTGAGAATATCATGGTTAATGGTCATAGAATATTTATTATACAAAGTTGTTTTTTTAGTTTTAAAGTTGATAAGTTGATAAGTTGAATTTACTTATGGTTTTAAAGTTGTTTTTTCAGTTTTTTTGTATTTTGTTTTCTAGGATTTAAACTCTCTAGAAATTATGAAAACTGGTCACCGAAAAAAATTATTATCCGAAATAGCTAGACTTCCTGCCAACAATTTACTACCAAATGAAAAACCAGTAGGTTTAAATATTAGATAAGATTTTTCTACCTTCTGCACATTCATTAAAACCAAAAATATTTTAAATTTTGTTCATTTCATTTTTAGTCCTGTTCTTTCTCTTTTTATATCTTTTTTTTTGTCTGTTTTATACAAACTTTTGTGGTACTTTCTTTTTACTCTAATTTGTGTGTACTTTTTTAATTCAAATTTTGTTTAAATCCTTTGTACTATTCTGTCATTATTATTATTATTATAAATAAACAAATTATTATTTTAATATGTGTGTCTCTCCATCTTTATTTCCAATTTTCCAACATAATCAGTGTGGATTTATTTTTTCATATATTATATAATATCATATATTTTATGCTGTTTATTATAATCAGAATAAAAGTTAGATAATTGTTTTTCTAATTAAGTCAATTATTTCTTCGAGGAAAATGTTCGAGAATGGTTATCCAATCTAAATCTTCTGCAATATGAATCAAATTTTGTTGAGGGGGGATTTGATGATATAGACTTTATCAAAGATTTGGACAAAAGTGACTTGGATATGATTGATATCAAAACAATTGGACACCAAAAAAAACTTTTAATGGCTGTACAACGCTTACATGATCTGGAGCTTACAGATATTTTAGATAGAGCAGTTGAAGGTATAATATTTTTAAATTTGTTTTATTTAAATTATTTACTTTTCTATTTGTTTCTAGTATTTTTAAATACTTAAATACTTACTTTACTCTTAATTAAATATTAATACTGTTGTTATTGGATACATAATTTAATTATTTATAAATATTACCTTAGTTAAATGAAAGAATGTATATATGTATTGAATTTCTTTATTTTAATTTTTTTATATATTTATAATTTTATAAAAGAGAATGATTTAATTTTATAAAAGAGAACTTTTTTTTATTGTTTTTGTTTCTTCTTTTTTTATTGTTACCATTTTTTATTTTGCTGGCTTTTATCTTGTTTTCATAGCTAATATTTGTGTTAAGAATTATTTTAATTTATTTAAATATATTGTTGTTAAAAACATTTGAAAAAATCATGGAAAAATTGTAAGCTTGAATTAAATGTTTTGTGTAATTTTTACTTATTTTTGTTTTTTAAAAGCTGTATATAACATTATTTGCATAAAATACAAGCATCTGTGTAAAATATTTATATGTGTATTTGTATATATGTATATATATATATATATATATATATATATATATATATATATATATATATATGTATATATATATATATATATATATATATATATATATATACATATATACATATAAACATATATACATATATACATATATACGTATATACATATATACATATATACATATATACATATATACATATATATATATATATACATATATACATATATATATATATATATATATATATATATATATATATATATATATATATATATATATATATATATGTATATATATATATATATATATGTATATATATATATATATGTATATATATATATATATGTATATATATATATATATATATATATATATATATATATATATATATATATATATATATATATATATATATATATATATGTATATAGTAATATTAAAAATGTTTTAAATGTTTTTTGCAATATATACTTCAACTTTTAAAATATAACATTATTTAAAAAAAAAGTCTATTATTGGTTTACATGATATTGTCTGCTCATTAAACAATCATTAAGCTATTGTCTTTAATGTTTGTATAACAGTTTAATAACAGCTTTGTGTAATCTCATAACTGTGTTAGTTATGAGTTAATTCATTGTTGACATGTTTAAAATTCATAGATAAATATCATGTTCATTCTCATATGCTGTGTTAAAAGATGTTTTAACTTAGTTATTTTAAATATTAAATTTATACAGTTTTAAAATATACATTTATTTATATATATATACTTATATAAAGAAAAATATATTTTATTTTGATTAAACATTTATTTTCTCAAGTTATTATTTAATTGATTTAAAATGTTTTTATTTTATTTTTTAGAATTTTGTTTTGCAAAGTTGTATTAAACAAGAAAAAAGTATTACCAAACTATTAAAATTGATTTTATAGATGTTTTATGTATGTTGAACAAATTGACAACAAAATACTTTTAATTTTAAAGAACAATAAAAACTGTTAAAATTATTTTTTTGATTAAATATGTAAGAAAATAAGCTTTAAATTATTCCTAATTATTTTAAATTATTATACTATGCTTAAATATTAATTATTTAGCTTTTTTATTTTAATAAATTAAACTTTTGGAATTAATTAATGTAATAGAGTGTAAGTTTAAAATAAATTAAAGGTCTATTGACAATTCAGTTTCCTGTGTGATATTTTACACATACTCATGGTTTGTTATTTAAAATGGTATTTATAAAAGACTATACTGGAGATAAAAAAAAACTTATGAAAGGGATAACAAAACAATCAACTAAATTAAAACATTTAAAAAAGATAATATTTTTTAAATTGAGTAGTAAAGGACATGTTGTTATTTGCTTAAAGTTATTTATTTCTATTAATCTTATGACCTTAACTCATCAAGTGTGTTTTTCATTTCTTTACTTTTATTTGAAAAAATGTGCAGCTAATTAGCTTTTTTAAAAAAGCTTTCTATAAAAATATTTTTTTAAAAAAGCTTATTATAAGAAGCTTTCTATTTGTGGATGATTTTTATATTAATAAATGTTAAAAAATATATGTTTTACAGAATAAGTGTATTTAAGAGTGTTGAAGTTATTAATGTATTTTTTTTTTACTATTTTAATGTATTGTTTTAATGTATTATTTTAATGTACTATTATCTTTTTTTAAGTTTATTATATATCTTTTTTTATTATTTTAATGTAATAATTACTTTTTTAAAGTGATAACATTTAACACCAAGGAATCTTAATTACTTTTTTTTTTTTTTCTTCTTGCAATTAAACAAATTTGCAATTCAAAACATTTATAAACATTTTGTTAACTTATAAAATGTGTTTTGCAAAAATTAATTGATTAAACTTTGTGCATGTTGTTTTGTTTATTATAAATTAAGCATGTGTTATAAATAAACTTATAATATGTAGTTGAAAAGAATAGAATGAAAGGAAGAAAAAAAAAGTTTTTATAATTGTTTTAAATTTTAAAACTAATAAAATTAAAATATTGAAGTTATCATAACTCTTTCTTTACTGTTATTTTTTGATTATATTTTAATTATAATTTTAATTTTAAATTTTATGATTTTAATTTTAAATTTTGATGTTCCTTTGTTTATTTTGTTTATTATAAGCTATTTTTGGTTTTATATTAAGTTTTTGTTTTAGCAAATCCGATAAGAAATAGTAGTTTTCGGTCTGATACATCTAAAACTAGTGGTTATATTAACAATCTGAATAATAACAAAATGTCTCCATCTATTGATGATTTGCCTCCTCCACCTCCACCATCTAGTATACAAGAAAATAATATTCAGCGTATTCCACATACTTCAAAAAAACCTGTGCCTGCTCCTATTCCAAAACCTAAGCCGTCAGTCAAACCTATAAATGAAACTATAAATAATTCTGTTGATGCTATTGTTAATTTGAGAAAAGGATCAGTAAACTCACTTCCAGGAGAGTTGCAAGGTGATCAGAGTGAAGAAGTTACATCATCAAAATCTAGAGGTACCATTAAATTTACATTATTTAGTAAAAATTTAAAGTTTATATATATATATATATATATATATATATATATATATATATATATATATATATATATATATATATATATATATATATATATATATATAAAGTAGTAAAAAATTACTTAGCAAAAAATTTTTCATTCAACACTGTGTTTCATCAATAAAGACTCATCAGAAAAAATTTTATTGATGAAACACAGTTTTAAATGGAAAAAAGTTTTGCTAATTGATTTTCTACTACTTTATAATTGCTCTGTTCTTTTAAGAATATTGAGCACTCTATTTTGTAGAATACATTTTAAAATTGTTTAAATATATATATATATATATATATATATATATATATATATATATATATATATATATATATATATATATATATATATATATATATATATATATATATATTACTATTTATTTATTTTTTCCTGATTTTCATTTTTTAAAAGATTTTTTATATCTGAATTTTTTGTAGGTAACTATAGTCAGCCATTTGTTTGAAAGTTTCATTATGTAATAATTTTTATGTTGTGTTGCTATAATGAAACTATATGTTTATATTTTATATAATATAGAAGTTGATATGCAGTTTTATATAATATAGATAGTTGCAATGAACATAATTTTGTTTATTTTATTGCTTGTTTGTTTTTTCATTTAATGAAGATTTTAGTAACAGTAGGTTTCAACAAGAATATAACTCAATGTCAAAATTAAAAAATAAACTCAATGTCAAGATGACTAGTTTGTTTTTGTTAAAATCTTTTTGTTTTTTGAAATTTCATAAAATTTGCCTTTTCTTAGTACACTTAGTCTTATTACATTGGTCACATCAACATAATAAACATCCTTTTTTGACATAAAAAACTATTTAGATTTGGTTGTATGAATTTCAATTAATATCATTGTATCGCACGTCTTTAAATACATACACACTTACATGCATACTTATACTTCTGAATTATCTCAAAATTTCTTGTACTTTTTTTTTGTTAACTTGATTAACTGTATTGTAATTAACTGTATTACATGGAAACATACATAAACTTAAATGTTCTCAAACATCTTAGTGGGGAAAAATAAAAGATTATTTGCGAACACAAAAAAACCCGCCAAATCTACGAACAGCTAATTCTATTGGTTCAAAAAATACTAACCGAAACTCGTTATACTTAAAGTTACTTTTTTCTGTTTTAAATACTAATTAAAATTATAAAGTCCACTGACTTTAGCGTTATTAGCGTTATTGTAAAGCAGTTCCGCTTCCTCCTCACAAAGTAATTTAACTTTTTTAGTTAATTTCTATCTAGCTACTTGAATTTCTACAGTAACTCAATGATTTAATTATTTCATTTGTTCATCTTACTAAGAAGAATTGTTTCAAATGTGTTGAACTTTTTAAACTACGCGAAGCATAAAACAGTTATTAAAAACTTTTTTTATTTATAATTAAATTATGTAGCGTTAGTTTTATTGGTTTAATGTTGTTGGACTTTACAGGGCCGGAGGCTGCATTATTTTGATGGTCTTTTTTATGCGCCACAGCGTAAAAGTGACTAAAAAAAACACAGAAGGGTACTCTTGACTATTTTCTCTGACATTGTGAGTCCCGGGGCTATAGCCATACTACCCCCACCTCACCTCCTCAATCTGCAACTGGAAATAAGACATAAGTATATAAATAAAAATTATATATACTCTTTGATAAATCGAAGAACATTTGTTTCTTTATAGATGTTACTTTATATAGAAAATGTTGCTTAATTTAAAAAAAAAAAATTATAAAAGAGCGACGTTTAAAAATAATTGCTCTAATCGTATTTATTTTGCCTAAAGTTTTTTCGCGTTAAAAGCTATTTTTCTTTTTTTTAATGTCTCTCATCAGACCAGTTAATCTTATTGCGCTTTTTTATTTGTTTTTAAAATGTTCTCAAAACGACTAAAAAATCTGGCCGGTTTTTCACAACTAAATATTATTTCTGTGGTCAATTATCGAGTGCGATCACACCCGCTTCCTAACCAAGCCTGGAGTTCTGGAAATTTTGTTCATTCACTTTTGGTTTTTCTAGATATCAAAAATATTTTTTATACATACAAGATTAGGTATATATTTTTGTAATATATTTGTTTTTCAAGCTTTTCTACTGCTGATCAGATTTCGTTTGTTCTACTGCCTTTCAACTGTTATAATTAAAAACTTTTTGTGTGTTAAATAGCTTTTGATAGTGTCTGGTGTGCTGGTCTTCTCCATAAGCTTGCTTCATATGGTGTGAAATTATTGAGCAATGGTGTGTCAAAAGTTCCATATTTAGTCCTATATTATTCTTCATCTATATTAATGATCTTTCTGATTTTCTCTAGCTGCAGAGCTTGAACCTCTGTTCCATTGTTATAAGCATCTCTTTCTTTTCTTTACTAATACTATCATGGTTGCTTCTAAAGCAAGCTATCATTGTATGTTCTGTCAACCAAAACTTGTTTCCACGCAACTCAGAACTTCAGCATTTAATGTAAATAAAAGAGCATGTTTAAGGTATGAATTGCATACTTTTACAGGTTTTTTATACGTTTTACAAACATTGCAATTGTCCTCTTTTAAAACTAATTTTACAAACAATCCAACAGTTAGACTGATAAATCCAGCAAAAAATGAAATTAATAGAATTGGTAAAAACATTCTCTCCAAATTAAACTCTGATTTAAAAAACATTTTGCCTCTTCAAATCAGTAGAAAAGCAATCAAAGTGTTATCAATTAGTTTAAAAATATAAAAGATAAACACCTTTATAAATTCTTCATTTTTGATATCAACGATATCTACCCTTCTATTAGTGAAAAATGATTCTATCAGTTTTGCGGAAAAACATCTCACTATAAGCAAAGAACATAAGTCAATTATTATTCATGCAAGAAAATCTTTACTGTTTAATAATAACCAGGTTTCGTTGAAAAAATCAAGCGGTTTGTTTGACGTTACAATGTGAGTTTGTTGGGATATTCATTCTTTTTCAAATTTCTAATTTTTATAATAAATATGACTTTGGCTTATATTGCGATGACGGATTAGTAGTTTTTAAAAAGGCTACCGGTCTGCAAATGGAGAAAATTAAAAAGCATATCACGCACTTGTTCAAATGTAACTATCTTAGCATACAGTGCAACCTCAAAATAATGAACTACCTGATGTAACTCTTAACCTCTGCGACCAGTCATACCGACCATGCAACTACATACATGCTCAATTAAACCACCCTCCTAGTATACTAAAGCAACTACCTTAAAATATTGAACTGAGAAATTTTTTTTTTTCTGAAAAATTGTCTGGAAATTCTAGCTGCAAAGAAATGTTTAAGAAATCTTTATATATTTATAATGATGCACTATGAAAGGTTATAAACATAATCTATCTTACCAACCTAACTTACAATAACAACAACAAAAAAAACCATACACGCAAATTTAATTTGTTACAACCCTTCTTTTAGCATAAATGTCACCATGAATATAGAAAAATGCTTTTTAAACTTGATTGTCAAACATTTTCCAACCACAAACTATATAAAAAACAAGACTGTAAAAATCAGCTAAAAATCATAGGGTACAGTCTCATGCTGAATGTAAAATCAGTAATAAATTTACACAACAAGCACATCCTAAACAAAAATCCAACCATTAATAATTAATGTCTATTACTCAATAACTTGTTATTAATAAAAATAGCTGCAACTGCCTTAATATAAAAAATTGTTCTTTATTCAATAACTGCTTGACCAACAATATTGTATACCAACAGGACCCAATTTACACCCTTTGGGGCCCGAGGCCGAATTGGTTTTAGGGGCCTTTTTTCAAAAAATTGTAGAATTTTTTTAAGACAATTTTTTATTTTACTACATAAAAAACAAGTTACATAAGTATACTGACAGTATAATACTGTACACATACATGTAAGTAGATTTTATAAATGCAAAACAAACTAGAAAATAAGTAACATTTCAGCATTTGAGTAAATTTTAACAATTTTTTATTTTTAAGAAATTTTTTTTTTTTTTGACAGAATTTGTCGATTAGAGAATCCATATCAAAAAGTTTTATTAAACCCTCATTACTAGATAAAATTTATAAATTTTTCAAAGTTTCTTCATATTTGATCTAAACTTTTGATCAAATTAAGTTTTGAAAAACTTCTTTTATCGGAGCAATTTGTAATAATAAAGCATAAAAAGATTTTCAAAACCATCTCAAGATTTGAAAATACAATTTCTAAATTTTTTTTCTTTTATCAGCTTATAAATGAATGAGTCAAGAACAAGTTATTAATAAGTGAGTCATAGCTGTTTTTTGATATTTAGTTTTGATAAAGTTATGAAATTGCAAAATTTCATCAAACAAAAACATATAATTATCTTCATGATATTGTTCAATGATTTTTTCTAAATTTTTCTTTAGCTTTGCGTTATCAATGTTCACATTAATAAAAAATTTATAAGTTGTGTTTTCAAAATTTCAAAAGATTCTTGATATACAATCATCTTTTTATTCAAATAGAGTGAACTGCATTGGCGACTTTGTTAAAAACATCTTTCTGAAACCTTTCTTTTGGACTTATTATAACACTTTTTGCTGGCGAGTAAATCAACTATTCATGATCGTGTTGCTCTTTGGCATTTGAAAATAGATTTTTAACAAAAGTGATCGTGATCCTTGCTTTGATTTATGGAAATCATTGTCAAATTATCAAAGTTCTGAGTAATTTTTGTTCCTTTTGAAATCTAAAATGAAACACCATCTTCAGAAAGATGTTCCCATAAGCCAATGTCATCTTTTCTGTTGATGTTTAAGTTACAGCTATCAGTGAATAATTCAGGAGAACGTGTGACTTCTTGCAATTGATGATCATTTTCTGAAACTGATTGTTCTGTTTCAAGAGAGCAATTTTCCCTTGGTTGGGAAAGGCGTGGTTGGGAAAGGCGTGCGATTGCACTCTGTTTCTGACTATGTAGTCAGTTGCCACAACTACACATATATGCGCTAAAAGAATTAACTTCATAACTTTATTCTTTTCTTAGCAAATTTAAATATTTTTCACTTAAGTTTTGGGCCCAAAAAATTGTGGGGCCCTAGGCCACGGCCTAGTTGACCAATAGGTAAATCCAGAACTGCATACTAAACAACTATCACTTCGGATAACCCTTCAATAAAAAAATTATACATTATGTTTAGTGAAACACCTTTTAAACTGAGATGATCCAACTACTTAAAATCATTTACAGATACAGAACTATAAAAAGGAGTTAGGAACTTAAAAGATAATAATAAAAATTCTGTGGTTTGTTGGAAAATAATTAGGAAATGTGAAGCGTATATACCTTGTAACAAAATCGTGAAAATTATGCCTTCATGAAAAATATGAAATTATTTCAAATAATGACAACAGGTTATTAAATAAAAAAGCTGAACTTATATCGACATGTTGGCATAGAAATAAATTCCTTCTGTGTCAATTCGACACTGAGTAAAGTTAGACTTCATGTAATCAACTTGTTTCTCCGCGCAGCAGCCTTGTTTGTCAAGATTCGTGTTTCGGAGTTATAGAGTTGAGAGAGGGTTATAACCACTATTAAGTAGCCTCCTCGTCTGTAGTGGCCTTCTGGGCCTTGAGGAGGTGAATTAAAAAAAAAAATCAATTTTTTGAAGTCAGATCCGGTTGCATTACTTAATTTATATTTTTAATGGTTTTTCAATTTCTTGATTTAAAAATAACTGACTGCTAGTGCTAGCTAACTTGCTGCTAGGCATGAAACTAAGAGTACCACCACAAAGTTGTATTTTTTTCATTTTAATATTTACTATATATATATATATATATATATATATATATATATATATATATATATATATATATATATATATATATATATATATATATATATATATATATATACATACAGGGCCTATTCTAGAAAAAAATTTTGGGCTGCGGTACCCTTTGGTCCCAGAGAAATTTAGCAGAAAAATTATTGTTTTTTTACAAAAAAATATTTGCCATAAAGAACGTAAAAAGAAAAGGTCCTCAAATTTGAGGACGACACTGTTAAAAATGGTCTAGAATAGCCCCTGATATTTATATTTATATATATATATATATATATATATATATATATTTAGTGTAAATATATATATCTTTTTCTTTGTGTAGAGAGCAAGATAATAATAAAGCTTCTATCATTAAATATTATACAAAACATTACGTTGGTTAAAAATCATTTACTTTTTTCACCATGCCTGTGTGTAATTCTAATAAGTATTCACCAGATATGCACAAATTTAGACTTTTGTTTAGTGCCCAAAAGCTTATACAAAACAAAAGTACACTTAAATTTCAAAATATGAATATATATATATATATATATATATATATATATATATATTATTCAAAAAAGAATGTATATCAATGTATTTCAAGGGCTTGTTTTTAAAATTTTACTCTTCTATTATTGAGCACAAATCAAAACAATTGGATTTTCATAATTATTAGCATTATAGTTTTTTATGTTTTTATCTTAAAATTTTGGCCATATTTTGACCTAGTCTCTAGTTACTTGTCTCTGAATAAAATATTTTATAGTAATGCTAAAATCTTTAGAAATGTTAAAATTTTATATATTTTTATTTTTAAAGATCTCTTCAAACAAATGGAACGGCGTACAAGTTCGGCTGAGCAAATGACAAGTCCACCAAGTACTATGGTAAGAACAAGCTCAATAGCAAACTCCAATATTCGTAAAAATTCTGACATAACCTCTGCACCACCTATAGTTCCACCAAAGCAATCTGTTAAAAAGGTTCCTCCACCTGCTCCTCCTAAAAGATCAAGCAGTGTTAGTTCAAGTATGTCTTTGTTTATGTTTTACATCTATATGCTATGTATTTCAAACAGGTAGGTCAGGTAACAAAGTAGCTTAGGTAAAGTTGAATAGAAGTATACCTTTTAAACAGTGGAGTTGTATAACTTTGTGACACCAACCTATAATAAGGGGTATATTTAAAAAATCGTGATAAGGGGTATATTTAAATAGTCGTGATATTAAAAAAGGGGTGATATTTAAAAAATCGTTTTTTAAAAATAATGTTTTTCTTGATTATATCAAGCTTGGATATGTTGAAACTTAAGTTGTTTACAATAGATTTTTTTGTATGCAGCTTCAGATGTTGAAAAAAGTATGTTGATAGAGAGCAGCTGGGACACTAACTTTAATATAATATAAAGTTTTCTTCAAATATTCATGTATTGATACTACTCTGGGTTCTTTTATTATTAGGCCAATTTTACTATGTACTGAAAGAAAATTGTCTAACATAATCATTTTATTATCTTATCTATTTTTTCATTATATTAAAAGCTAATAATCTTAAATATTATTATAGGCTTGAGTAATGCTGATTAATTGTTCAGGTTCCCTAAAAATCTCAGGTTGTTACCTGGTCAAAATTTTATGCTGTTTGAGGTTACATATTTGTAAACCATAATATTACATGATACAACATAATACTATCATGACATGATACTATCTTAAAATTACAGGTTTTCTTAGACTGATAGGTTGTTGTAAGAGTCCAAGCTCTTACATGAGATCTTTTAACAGAAGTTTGACCATCTTTTGTAACTTTTTGACCCTTAAAATAATTAAATAATTAAAAAATTCACAGCATATGATTAAATAAGTTCAAATTCAAATAGCTAAAATGTTTTTATCTATTAGCCTAAGTAAAGTAAAAATTAGCAAAACCAAATTCAATTAAGTTAGTTCCAAAGAGCAATGAAATCTAAAAAAAAATTTAGAAACTCTAAAGTTGAATATTTTTTATTTGTAGCCATGTTAAGTTTATTTATTTCCTCCTTTCAAACTATTAGGGAGTTAGTAAATTTAGTGTAGAAAATTTTGAACAAGATTTTTTTAAAAAAATTAATAAAAAAAATTTATTAGTGTTATTTTTAATTTTATATATTTAAGATAAAATTTATTAGTGCCATTTTTAATTTTATATAAAAATAGTATTTTTATACACTTTTATACACGGTAATTTTTTTTTACACGGTAATTTAATGACATTTTTAATACTTATATTTTCTCCTTCTTTTGAGTTTTTCTTTGCAAAAAATAGTTTTTTCTTTTTTTTATGTTCTAAACACTACAATTAAAAAAATTATAAAAGTTAAATTTTTTAGTTATGACTGTTACCCCAAACACCAACTTATCATAAATTCTTTTTTAAAAGTTAAAATTTTTTTGCAAATATTTTTTACTTCACTCTACTCTTGGTATTTAATTTATATGTTATATGTTTAGTTTTTTTAATATATCTTTTGTTTTGATATATGTGGTTTATTTAGATGAACTACCAGCTAGTCAACCATTCGAGCCTGTTCTAGAGCGAGTGGTGTCTCCACCACCAGTTTCCGAAACGTCTCCTAAAATGCCATCTTTTACCCCTCCACCTCCACCGAGAAAAATAATTTCGGCGCAAACATCTTCATTACCAGCCCCTTGTCTGGATTTACCATTGCCACCTCCTGAGTTGATCTCTCCACCTAACGATGAAATTGAAGAACCACCTACTCTAAAAAAAAAGGGAGACAGAGGGTAATACTTTATTCTTAGCGACTTTAATACTTGTCAGCTAATTAGTTAATATTAGTTGATAGTAAAATTTAGATTAACTAAAAAGTGTGTGTGTGTATATATGTATATATATATATATATATATATATATATCTGTACCTCAGAGCCAAATGAGTTAACACCCTTTTTTTTCTGTTAAGAAACAACTTTTTTTATTTTTAAAATTGATATTTGAAGTTACTTTCTGTAATGTCCACGCTTACGATATTTTACCACTAAAACAAGACGGTCTCCCTGTGACAGTTAAGATAAAAACCTGAAAATCAGCAACTTTGCAGTTACGATAGTTAACCACAGATTGGGGTACAGATAAGTATATATATATATATATATATATATATATATATATATATATATATATATATATATATATATATATATATATATATATATATATATATATATATATATATATATATATATATATATATATATTATATATGTATATATATATATATGTATATATATATATATGTATATATATATATGTATATATATATATGTATATATATATATGTATATATATATATGTATATATATATATGTATATATATATATGTATATATATATATGTATATATATATATGTATATATATATATGTATATATATATATATGTATATATGTATATATGTATATATATATATATATATATATATATATATATATATATATATATATGTATATATATATATATATATATATATATATATGTATATATATATATATATATATATATATATATATATATATATATATATATATATATATATATATATATATGTATATATTTTTATTTTAAACATAGGTTTGAGGAAACTGATGATATTCTTGCTGATATAATGGCTGACATTGATGATTTTAGCGCTCAGTTAGATTCTATGTTTTAAATTGTATATAAAAGAACACTCAGATTTTATAAAATGATGCCGCTCACAAAATCGATTCTAAAATGATGCGATCAATGAATCCGACACGTGATATTTTTATTTTAAACAATCACTTATCAAAACACTAACTATTCGCTTAGTTAGTAGAAGAGGTTTGTAAAGAGAAGAAAATTTTTCCATTCAATTAAGACAATCACTAAAATGGTTTTAGAGTCTAAAATCATTTTCTAAAATTTAGACAATTGTTGATAAGCTTACAGACTGTTTGATTGCGTTGTCTGAAAGACAATCATTTTTTATTTTTATTTTTTGCGAACATTTTTTAATTTGTAGTTTATTATTAATTTTTGTCAATAATGCTAGGCATTTATTAGATTATATATATATATAGGCATTGTTTGGCGCACGTTTTCAAATACTTTTACAGCGCGCACTTTTTCGACTAAAGTTGCATGATGTTTGATGTAAACATTGATGTTTTTTGGCGTGAGTTTGTAAAACCGATTGTAATTATATGTAAATAGAATACTTTGTTACTACCCAACTACTGATTTATTACAGGCTTTATAAGCATTTTTTTACAAGCTTTATAAGCAAATATATTAGGAGGTTTTAAAGTATAGCTTCTATCACAAAGGTTATACCTTAATTTAGTGTAGAGAACTCAAACTATATACAGAAGACCTGGTGAATAAAAAAAAGCAATTGCCTGTACTCGGCGTTTTTGAAGTAGTTGCTCAGCTTTACGTAAATGATAACTTTTAGCGATTTTGCTCAAATTTTTATTCAAATAAAACTGAGCAACTACTCCAAAAACGCTGAATAAAAGCAAATGCTTTTTTTTTAATCACCCGACCTTAAGGAAAAAGTTTAATTTTATGTCTAAATCCATAGTTCTATCATAATATAAAAGGTGCCCATTTGCAAAACACGAAGTCCGAGTAAACTGGTTTTGAGAAACGAAAAGCTTAACTACTCTTTGTTGTGCATCAACGGAAATTGATATTTTCTTGGTCTATTTTTAGGACCATAAATTTTTTAAATTGGTCTAACATTTAAATAAAAGATAAAATGTGGGAAAATAAATTCAATGTTAATTATTAAAATGTGGAAGTAAAAACTAAAAGTTATTATTTTTGTGAATTTTTGTAACAAAACCGTGCGCATAACGTTTTTAACGTTATATAATTCTCATAATATTAGAACTTTTATCACAAAATTTTGATGAATAAATCTTTAGCTAAAAGATTATCTTTAAGATAAAAGTGTTTTTTATGGCTTCTGCACTCATTTTCTTTACTGGTTATCTTTATTGCATTTATAAATTCAAGCATTTTTTTATTACTTGTTTTCTATATATTTAAAAATACCCTACGCAACTATAAAGTTATTTATGAATCTTTTTATTATTCGTTTTCTATATATTTAAAAATACCCTACGCAACCTTAAAGTTATTTATGAATCTTTATCATTGTTCAAACCATACAATTTGCTCTGAAATCATCAAAATTTGAAAGCAAAAAGTTTAAAATAGGATTATTGAATTTTGGCCGAGGTGGTGAATTATAAAGGCGCAGTGGAAGCGCACTTGTGTCAGAAACAAAGAATACGTTGTTCAAATCCCACCTCTGGCAAGTTTTGCGGCATCGGTTAAAAAGGAGGCGTGAACTTCCAATTAAATGCTTATCCGCGGTGCTCTGTAATAAGACCGTAAGGACTTCTCGGGACACCTAAATAAAATTAAAAAAAAAAAAAAAGATTGAAAACTAAGTAGTTACTCATGAGAGTTTGTAACATAAGGAAATTATTATGATATCTTTATTTATAGTTATGTCTTACAGATTATCTGTAAAGATTATTATAATAGATTTCTTTGTTCATTAAAGCATTACTTAGCGTTTATAAAAAATAATATTTATGTCAGTATATTTATTCATTAAATAAAAAATTAATGTGGTAAGTTATTTATACTTAGCCGTATAAATCATTTGCTTTTACTTCTATCTGCTCTAGAAAACCAAGAGCTTTATAACACGAAAACTTCACTTTCTGCAGATAGACATGCGTATTTAGCCAATTCTCCGAACATAAGCGTCTTCTAATACGGATAATGATAATAACACCCATGCAATGATACCAACACCCATGCAATGATATTAATACCCATGCAATGATATTAACACCCATGAAATGATAGCAACACCCATGCAATGATATCAACATCCATGTAATGATATTAACACCCCAATTTTCACAAATAGATTAAACTTTATCTATTTCTTTTTTGCAAACCTTGAATTTTTGCAAGTTAATGATTTATAGTCATTGAATGATTTTCAAAACATAATTTTAAATATTGTAGTCTGAAATGCGCAAAAATAGTCTTTTTGCGCTTCGGCATTTGATAAGTGAGCTAATTTGGGATTTTCCCTAAATTTTTACAAATTTTTATACAGAGCTAATTTGGGATTTAATAAGTGAGCTAATTTGGGATAAGAGATAAGACGCTTTTTTTAATTAAAAATTAAAAAAAAAATGCTAAAAAGGTTATCAATAATTCAAGTTAAAGAATTACTCGATACACACGAAAGCAACATATTAAAGAGTTTGGGTGATAAAATTGACAAACAGAGCTAATAGTTATGAACACTGCAATGAATTTCCAAAACGAACAGTATGAAAAAATGATGAAAGAATTCAATTGTCTTAAAGAAAATCTTAAATACAGTGTTAAAATAAAGGGAAAACTAGATGAAGATAAGTTTGAGGATATAATTGTGGAGATAATAGGAGTAGGAAAAACAATCTTCGTTTTGAAGGATTCGAAGAAAAAGAAAATGAAACATGGGATGAAAGCGAAATCAAAATAAAAACATTTATTAAAGAAAAACTTGGTATTTTAGACAACGTTAGCATCGAAAGAGCTCAAAGAACCGGGAAGAAATATGAAACTGGGAAAAAAAATAGAACCATTGTTGCAAAATTTCTTAATTATAAAGACAGAGAAAAGATTTTTTAATCAATATTAACAACTGAAGCTATGGAGAGAAAGAATATTTGTAAACGAACATTATAGCGAAATAACAATTGAAAAAAGAAGAATTCTTTTTCAACAAGCTAAAGAACTACGAGCAGGTGGTAAGTACGCTCGAGTTGTGTATAATAAGCTTGTAACGAGCGTGTAATAAAAAGAAGATCTTTTAAATCCTGTTACTCTATAACAAAACAAAAATGAATAATTACGAATCACTTACTTTTGACTTTTATAATAAATACTTTAAATCAGATAAAAATTCTGGCCTGGATAATAATTTTTTTTAATGATGTTTACACAGAGTGCTTATATCCAGTGCTGGGAATATTTGAAATACTAAGCATTTAAAATACAATTTAAAATACTTTCTTTGTATTTGTATTTGTATTTTAAATACTTTTGTTGAAAGTATTTAGTATTTGTACTTAAAATACTTTTGATTAGTATTTTGTATTTTGTACTAATTGAAAATACCTATAATTCAAATACCGCTTAAAACACCGCTCACGAATAACTTAACTAACTGTTACGTCATAGTGTCACTCTGCCACTATTTATTTTGAACTATTTTTTATTTTATTTTTATACCATGGTTTATCTACCATGGTTCCATTAGGGTAATTATAAAGTTATTTTGCGGGAATCAACAATTTTTTATTTAATGATGGCTGCCGTGAGCCGCGAAAACAAAATGACCGATAAAAATAATAAAAATTTTACCAGCCATTGTAGATGGTACCTTTTTCAAATTGTAGCTAGATAAAAAAAAGTAACAAAATATCAGCATTATGTTCATTATGTGTACGTAATGTGGGGACCATAAGGCACATAAGGCAGATGTTTAGAGAAAATGTTATCTAGGAAAGGCAGGTATAGGAAAAACGGCTGATGAAGGCCCTGCCAGTAAGAAGTTGAAACAAATTATGTACCATTAAGCAGCATCGGAATTTTCACCACAACGTCGTATTATATCGCAAGAAGAAGCTGACAAATTAATTACGGATTATATTACTGAAGAGATGCGTCCTTTGGCTACGGTTGAAAAACCGGCTTTTCGTCGACTGCTTCGAGGTTTAACCCTAACGTAAGTATCATGTGTCGCATGACTCTTAAAAAACGTTTTAGTTCAAAGCTTTCTAGAATGCATGAAAAAATATGAAGCAAACCGAAAAAAGCATCATTTGTTTGCACTAATGCTGATATCTGGTCAGTCAATAGAAAAAGTTTTCTTTGCGTGACTGCGCATTATATTGAAATGCCACTAAATGATTCTAGTTCGGTTTCACGAGCATCTGTATCCCTTGCTTGCCATTGATTTTACGGTAGTCACTAATATCATACAATTGCTGCAATGATTTCTAAAATTCATTGTCAATATGACCTTAACATAGAAAAAATCTTAGCAACTGTTACCGACTATGCGTCAAATTTTGAAAAAGCATTCAGAGTCAACTACAAGAGCAGCAGCAACTAATGTAATTGTGACCATCACATCTAATACATTTCATACTTTCGAAGAGCAAGAGGATGTTGAAGAGGATAAAGTTAATGAGGATGAAATTGATGTAATTAATATTGGAGACATTCTTTCAGTTTCACCAGCAAATAATGTTGACGATGATAATGATGATGACGATGATGATGGTGATAATGATGATAATGATGATGATAATAAGTCCATACCCTAGAGTATTTTTTTGCTATCTCATAAAACATGTAGCAGCCATTCACTGAATTTTTTGGCAACTAATGATGCTAAGAAGGCATGTGATACAGGCAGTACGCTTAAGCGTACACTGTTAATCTAAAAGGTTCTTTGCAATTTTTTGCCTGTTCTTTAAAGAACCTAAAGGTTCTTAGAGAAAATTTAAGGTTCTTTAAAGAACCTACGGGTTCTTAATATTCTCTAATGGTTCTCTGAAGAAGCGGCGGCTTATTTACAAAGAAATACAAAGAATTCTTCAAATCGTTTTAGGGAAAACCTCGAAGAACCTTAATTTAGGGTTCTTTAAACCATTTGTAAACGCTTTTAATTTTTCTAATCAGTTGTTATATAGGTAGACCAGTATGAATTTATAAAGAATGGTATAATAACAGATTATTAAAGCAACGTGTTTTTTTTTTTTGTTTTTTTTGGAGCAGTTTTCTTATTCCTTTATGCTTTTATCATGCATATTATAAATAAATATATCATTGTATATTGCGAATGGTTTTATTTAGATTAATAAATATATCATTTGTTAAAATTTAAAAAATGCAAGATTGTTTGAACTGGATTGTAGAAGATGTTTGCGTATACTTAGAACTTAAAGGACTCCCACAACTTGTACAAAAAAAATATTGGTTAGATTGAAGTTTCTATTTATTTTTAACTATATAATTGTTCGGACACTATATATATATATATATATGTATATATATATATATATATATATATATATATATATATATATATATATATATATATATATATATATATATATATATATATATATATATATACA